TAGTTTTTTGTATTTTTAGTACAGACGGAGTTTCACCGTGTTAGCCAGGATGGTCTCGATCTCCTGACCTCGTGATCCACCCGTCTTGGCCTCCCAAAGTGCTGGGATTACAGGCTTCAGCCACCGCGCCCGGCTGACAATATTTTTCTTTTTGTAATAAATATAAATGCTTAAATCTCTCTAGGAAAAGGCAAAGACATATTTTGGTCCAGAAACAAAATTAAATTTTATTCTGTTTATAAGAGCACGTGTCTACAACAAAATGAAAAGTAAAGCACTAATTAAGAGATAAGCACATATACACAAAAAGTAAGGATACAAATATGGGTATGCGCAAAGTAAAACAGAAGGCAAAAAGCTGTAAGTAGGAGAAAATATGTTTTTTTTCTACAGATAAAAGAAAAAATCGACAAGGAAAATATGACAATAATAAATACCCATAAGTAAAATACCATAGCACTGAAATGTTTAGAGCAAAAGTCCCAAATATAACATGCAACAGACATAATCACAATTGTAGCAAGAGATTGTAGAGAAGACTATCATACCACTCTATCTTTGACAAATAAAGTAGAAAAATATTGAAACACAGAGCATTTGAACAAGCTCAGACCTGATTTATGAGATATATGATGGGATATTTTGAACATTAATAAGCATGCTTCCCTCCCTTTCTAACTCCTACCCAGAATTCTTCTGCCCCCCAACCCTGCCCCCCAGATAGATATGAGTCACTCACTACAGAATGCAAATACTCATTAGACTCAAAAGCTGGCCTAGGCATAAGACAGATGAATGTCAATGTGTACTAGCATAGCACTCTGTGGACCAGAAAAGAGAAAGGAGGTGAGTCAAAGGCCACAAGAAAAAGAGCATAGGCTGGGAGCAGTGGCTCATGCCAGTAATTCCAGCACTTTGGGAGGCTGAGGTGGGCTGATTGCCTCAGCTCAGGAAAACCTGGTCTCTACCAAAACACAAAAAAATTAGCCGGGCATGGTGGCGTGTGCCTGTAGTCTCAGCTACTTGGGAGGCTGAGACAGGAGAATAACCTGAACCCAGGAGGTGGAGGTTGCAGTGAACCAAGTTTGCGCCACCTCACTCCAGCCTGGGCGACAGAGCGAGACCCCATCTCCAAAAAAAAAAAAAAAAAAAAAAAAAAAAAAAGAGCATAAGAGAACACTCAAACCTCTGCCAGAATATGGGCCATCTGGCAGAGTGCCAGAGACAACCACAGTGTCCTTCTTGTCATTGACTTGTGAAGATCACCAAATGCCCAAAATTCCTTCAGTTCATAGGGATGTGTGTCTGTGCCTCAGGACACTTCCCAGTCCCCATCAGTTTTATTCCACATGTAGACAAATCTGTCAAACAGTCTAGGATACTTGTATACACTTGTACACCCCTTCCGTAAACAGAGGAGCTGTGGGCCCTTGGTGATTGAAGGGTGATGGTGATGTGAAGGGGAAAGCCTTGAGCTGGCCAAGGGGGCTCTAGCTAGCATGACTTGGAAATCTTCCTCTGAGCTAGAAGCTGTGTAGAATACACACTCCTGTTACAGATGAACTAAACATCTGTATGTTTGAAATGGAAAATGAACAGTATTTCCAACCCCTATGATATGTGTTTACAATGAAACAACAGGCTATGTTTAAAAAAAAACCTTTTCAAGATATGTTATTTAACAATAGTATCACAAGTCTAGAATTTAACATAGAATAAATTTTAAAAAATCAAACCACCTAGAAAAGATTTTTTGGTTTGTTTGTTTGTTTGTTTTTAGACAGAGTCTCACTCTGTCACCCAGGCTAGAGTGCAGTGGCATGATCTCGGCTCACTGCAACCTCCACCTCCTGGGTTCAAGCAATTCTCCTGCCTCAGCCTCCCGAGTAGCTGGGACTACAGGCGTGCACCACCATGCCCAGCTAATTTTTGTGTTTTTTTTTTTTTGAGACCGAGTCTCACTCTGTTGCCCAGGCTGGAGTACAGGGGTGCGATCTCCGCTCACTGCAAGCTCCGCCTCCCAGGTTCATGCCCTTCTCCTGCCTCAGCCGCCTGAGTAGCTGGGACTACAGGTGCCTGCCACCATGCCTGGCTAATTTTTTGTGTTTTTAGTAGAGACAGAGTTTCACTATGTTAGCCAGGATGGTCTCGATCTCCTGACCTCGTGATCCGCCTACCTCGGCTTCCCAAAGAGCTGGAAATTGCAGGCGTGAGCCACCATGCCCGGCCTAGAAAAGCTTTTTAAAAAATTGTCCTGAATAACATTTGGATCAAAGAGGAACTCAAAACTATAATGACTACAGCCGTGTAATTAGAAAATAGGAGATCCATATTATTCATGAAAACAAGGTATGAAACCAAAGCCATACTCAGGAGGAAAATTTATAGTTTTGAAAAAATAAATAAAAGACATAAGAGATTAAGGATACCCAAATACACTTTAATGGGCATTTGTTGTTGCTCACATATAATATTTTTATATATATTCTCTAATATCTATGTTCTCTAACATATGATATATATTAAAGAATGTATATATTATATATACATAAAATTTGGCTGCCTAACCTCTGAAGCTTCTTCCTATAGTACGGAAATCTGCCATGGAGTGAATCCACCAATCAGATGCTGCCCCTGCTACTTTGCAGCTGGAGTCACTGCCTGAAAGGGCAGCCTTCATATTCTGGTAGCCATGGCCAGTGTTCAGTGACAGAGCCAGCGCATCCCAATAAAGCTGTTCCTGGACACCCTGTGGATCTCAGTGCTCAGATTCCTACTTGCTGCTCATCCCCTCCACCTTGTTCTGCACACCCCTCCTGTGAGTCTCTGGGCTGCCTGATATCCTTCTCCAGTACATTATTTTCCAGCGTACGTTAGCTAGAGTCAGTTTCTATTGTTAAAACCTTCAAACTCTCACTGGTCTTCTGAACAACACTGAAGGAAGGAATGTGTAAGAATAATGAAAGAAAAATCAATGAGAGAGAAAATTCTATAGCAATGATTGAGTACATTCAAAAATATTTTGAAAGACCAATAAAATCAGCAAACCTCCAATGAATCTATTCACTGCAAAAATTAAGACAAACCACAAAAACTTTTACAAAGAATAAAATGTATATGAAAGATTCTGAAGTTTAAAAAGTATGATCTGCAACTCTATATTTGATTAATGAAGAAGATAAATTACCAAAATTAACTGAAGTGGGAAACTTGAATGTACTAACGACTGTGGAGGAAATGCCAATAAGCTATTTTAAAAAAGCACCCCCCCCTCCCAAAGGGCACAGAGCCAGATTGGTCTAGGGGGAGGCACCATAAAACCGGTGCTATTTAAACCCCTCTGGAGCATGCAGAAAGAAGAAGCTGAGCAGCCCCGAATAGCCCAGGACAAGAGAGACCCGCCAGTCCTGGACTCCAGCTGCAGCTGGCTTTCTGCCTTACATATTGGTTGGCCTGCAGTGCAGCCTACTGTTGAGAGGCGTTTGGACTGTTGTGTGGACAGGTCATCTTGCTCTGCCATTCTGACCCAGCTGTCACCACCCTCACACTTTTTAGTTATCTATCAGTGGCTGGTGTCAGGCAGGTAAGCCCACAGCACTCACCCAAGTCATGCTCATTAACCCTCTGATTGGCTGTCCTTATCCCAGGACCTCCACTAAGTTCAAGCATTTTTTTCCCAGTATCAGAGGAGGAACACTGTTTATTCCAGTCTACATGCTCCAAATGGAAGTGAGGAAACCAAGGCCCAGAGAGGTGTGTACTCACTTGCCCAGTGGTCATTAGGATGAAGTCAGGGTTAGGACTAGCTGGGCACTGGGAGCTAACGGCTAGGGTAGGAACTGCATGACTTTTGTCTGGAGAAATGTTATGGCAGATGGACACCAGGGCACAGGCATATACCCGAAGTGTCCAGGGCAGACAGGACTGCTAGTCACCCCAGATGGGACCTGGTAAGGGCCCAAAAAGGGACTGAAGGTGGGAAATGTTTTTGTTTTTCAGTGTGAAGCGTTGTCAAATGTATGTTCTAGGTCTTGGGAATCCTCGGGACCTTTGGAAGCCAGATTCAGCGAAGATGCTGTACCTACTGGGGACAGCTCTGACAAGAGGTCAACGCAATGCTCCAGGTCCCTGGCTGGGTTTGGCTGTCGAGTGCGCCGACCTCTGGACCCTGTGCAAATGGACTGTAACGACACAGCTGGTAGGGGTTACTGAGGGAGCTGGGTCCCTGGTCTGGTGGACTCCCCCGGATTTGCAATGAGCTGTTTACGGCACCTTGGAGATAGTTGCTTTTAGTGCAGTTGACAGTGGGCTCAGAGCACCAAGTGGGCTAGCACCGTATTTATTAGAAAATTACTCCGTAACTCTAGGGCTCCCAGAAGACCAAAATAATCTGAGCAGATTGCACCCAGAGCACCGCGCGGAGAGAGAAGAAAGCCCGTCACCCACAGACCGCTTCCTCCTCCCACAGGTCCCCCATCCAGTTGCATTTCTCCCTCCCTAGGCGCATTTCGGAGCCTTCCTTTCTTAAACATACACCTAGCGAAAATTCGCCGGAGGGAGGCGATGTTCCCTGTGAGCCAAAGCCGGTTTCGCACCAAGACCCAGAAGCAGAGAGAACTGATCTCTCTCCCGGTACCCATGACAATCTCAGAGCTAGATCTATACCGTCCCGCGCCCAGCAAGAAGCACTGTGCGGCTGTGCTCCCCCGACCCCCAGGACATCCATCCCCACGCCTAGCTTCCCAGGCCGGTCTTCTGCGCGGCTCCAGTCGCCCAGGTCTCCACGCAACAATGAAGCGTGGGCGGCCCCAACGGCTTCATTTGCATATCGCTGCGGCTTGGCCAATGGGCTGTGCAGGGGCTTTGGAACGCAGTGTTGCCATCGGCGTGCGCGCGTGTGTGCGAGTGTGACAGCGGCTGTGGCTGTGGCCGTGGCCGTGGGAGGCGGGCTCGGCGGAGCCCAGCCGCGCGGGGACCGGCCCGGGCTCCCGCTCCTCGAGCGTGTCGCGGCCGCGTGGCCCGGCCGAGCCTTGAGACCACCTCGCCCCGGCCGGTCGCTGTCGCGATGTCGGTGGCCGGGCTGAAGAAGCAGTTCCACAAAGCCAGCCAGGTAGGGAGGCGCAGAGGAGGGAAGGAGGGAGGGGGACGCGGAGGCTGCGGCCCCCCCGAGGCTCCCGGGCCTTTGGGACTCCTGTTTCCTGAAGGGCCTCTCTCGAGGCTCAATTTCTTCCCGCCTAGGAGGGCGCGAGGGTGGGGTGAGGGGCCGCCTGTTTCTCCTCGGCGTCTTGGCGCCTTCTCCTTCCCATTCCCTGGCCCCCGGCTCTGCCCTGGGCCGTTGTAAATCAGAGAGATTCTGCGTCGCGGAGGGCAGAGGTGGCGGCCGCGGGGACTCGGGCGGCAGAGACGGAGTGGGCGTGGGGAGGCCCCTACCCCGCGCAAGGGGAGGACGACCACAGGGAGTTCGATGCCTACAGGGCCTCCCCCTAGTCTCCAGCCGTTTGGTTGGGAGCGCCTCGTGGGGGGCCCATCCTCCACCGGCCACCGGCGTCTCCAGAGATGCTGTGTATTTGGCGCTTGGCTGGGTCCCGCTGAGCTCCCGGCGCGCGCCTCGAAATGGTCCCGGCTGGACTGTGCCCGGCTCCCTGGCTGGGGCTCTCCACCGCAGTCCTTCCCCTCCCCACCGTCTTCCCGGTGTGGGCCTGCGGCTGGGCATTAGGCTTCTGCTCTCAAAGAGCTGACAGCCTGCAGGGGAGACACGGAGACAGACACGTAAACAAACAGTGCTAGACACACCTCCACGCACAGAGGATGGCAAATAACACAGTGGGGGCGTCAGGGAGAGCTTCCCGGAGGAGGAGACATGTCATTTGAGAATTAAGTATGAGGAGGAATTATGGTTGAGGGTGTGGGAGGATAGGAGGAAAGCCGTTCTGAGCAGAGGAAACAGGAAAATAGGCGGGGAGACATGAAATTGATGTGTGTGTGTGTGTGTGTGTGTGTGTGTGTGTGTCATGAAATTGATGTGTGTGTGTGTGTGTGTGTTGATGATAAGCAAATTTGTTTTTCAACATCAACATTGCAGGCTCTTCCAGCTATGGCAGAGCTCATGTTGTAAAACCTGTTCCCCACCAGCACCGCTGGGTCTGTTGCTTCTCACCACCTCTCTCCCCAACCCCAGCCCCCATTTTGCTAGAGCCAGGGTAGACAGATTTCATTCAACGTCCACATTTGTGGTGAGGTGTCATCCTGCTTCTCCCACAAGTTGGCCCATAGAAAGCAACTGGAATTAGAAGATTCTCTTCCTCTAGCCCCAATTCCAGGTTGAAGGCCACTGCTGTCCCCTCACTCCCACTCTTTCCATATGGAAACTGGGTGATGCTGTTTATGGCTGTGGGCACTGGGTAGACAGTGCTGCTATTCAGGGTGTTAAGGGGCCCTGGAGGAGAGGCTATTCATGCGAGGGTGGAGATGATGGATTCACCGCTGAACCCAGGGACTTTGAGGGGTCTCTGGGACATTCAGATGTCACTGGCCTGGGTTGGGGTGCATATCCTGACCTGGAGCTCAGGGGGTGAGGCTGGTACTGGAGCTACAGATTTTTCGTGATTTCCAGCCTAAACGGAGATTTAAAAATGTGTGTGTAGACAAAAGTGAGAAAAGGCACAGTGAGTTACAGACAGACTCTAGAGAGCACCCACATTTAGGGACAGTGTTTAGCCCAATACTTGATGAGCAGTGACGACTCAATAAATATTTATTGAATAGATGAAATTTTGGAGTGGCACAACACAGGAAAGAAAAAACTGGTAGGTTACAGGAGAGAGAAGAACATCATGGAAGGGGGGGCATTTAAAGGCAGGAGCAATCAACAAGTGCTTCTGTGAGCTAGGTATTGTGGAGTGCTCTCAGCTGGTACAGCCAAGAGGCCGAGTGCTGCTGTGGGCAGAGCAGTGCCAGAGTAATCGCTGGCTGTGCTTGTTACACTGGCTTCCTTAGCATTGGCAGGAAATAAGCCTCCTCTTTCAAAAACTTTTCCTTTATTGGTTATGGACTTCATAGGAGCAAATCTGAAAGATAAGCAAATCTCAGAGATAATGTAAGCCCTTGGGTGATTTAAGTTGGTTTCTGACCAGTAACCAGAATGAATGATTGAAATCCTTGGAAGTTATTGGCATTGGAGAAATATTTTGCTAGTCATGGGTAGTTTGGTTTAACTATCTGTAATCAGTCCATTAAAAATGAAATGAGCAGAAGGTCTAATTTAGTCTTTTTTTTTTTTATTTTTTGCAAGATCTGAAATAATTTGTGTCTTTACCTGAAAGGAGAGACATCACAGATTCCCTCTGGGCTTCCTAGCCATGTTTTGTGGTTAAAAGTACTCAGTAGATATGTTTTAATATGTTCTAGAAGTCTTTCTAAGAAGTCTTGCAATGCAACAATTTGGTGGAGAAATCAGATCGGTTTAATATAATATGAGGAAGCGCAATAATAAAAAATGCCAGATGTTTTTCTCAGACAACATTTTAACAGCAGGTTTTAATTCATACAGAATTTTCCCCAGGCAGGGGAAGGGAGCCCCAGATGATGTCAATGACTAAAATAATTTCCAGGGATCTAGGTCTGGCTCAGCCACTGACCAGCTCTGTAACCTTGGGAACATAACTTAACCCATGTGGACCTTGGTTTCTATCTGTATGATGACTCAGGGAATTTAGAAGCTATGTTTCTGTTATAAAATTGATTGTGGCAATGGTTTCACAACTCTGTGAATATGCTAAAAACCATTGGATTTTACACTTTAAGAGAATTGTATGGTATGTGAAATATATCTCAATAAAGTGATATGCGTATGTCTCTGTGTCTCTGGGTGTGTATGTATGTAGACATCTGAGTGCTGAAATTCTTAAGTAATTTACTTTAAGCATTTCAGAGTAAGACAAAGATGATAAAGTGGACCTTTTACAGATAAGGGATCCAGGACCATGGCAAACTGAGATTAGTTTTCTGAAAGATAGGCAAGGTAAAATTAACTATAACCTGGTTAACTGTTCCTTTTTTCCTGATACCTTCCCTATCTCTGGGGGAAAAAAACCCTGCTTTACAGAGAATGAACAACCGTAAACCCTGGGGATTATGCATCATTTTGGCAGCACACGGAGACCAACAGGAAAGAGGAAGAAATATGCTAAAATGAGAAGAATATAAGTTGAGTTAACAAAAAAATTTAATTCTAAGTTTCAACATTTGAGACTAGAACCCAAATTTTTCAAGTGCATAGTTAAATATTTTTTCTCTTGACAAGATTTTTTTTTGACAGAGCTGTTTACTCTTCTGGTAGGGATGTAGCTTGAGCTGTTATAAATAAATACAAATAGCATAGCTATGGCATTGTGGTTTCTTGTTAAACGTGGTGCCTCACCAATAAAAATATAGCTTACAATAATTACATTTGTGTTTCCACTCACTGATTTGTATTTGTATGCTTATTTCATAGTAATTTTTCTTGACAGCATTTATTGTTGAAGAAGGAAGTTCAGGGCACACCTGTGTGTGCTCTGACCTGAAAAGTACCAATAGCCATATTCTTTCCATTTCTGGACCTTCTTGTCTTCCAGCGTTCTTGTTCTGCATCCCATAAAAGCCCAGGGACCAGTTTCATCTCTTCTCCTCCTCTCCTTCTCTCCCAAGACTAACCATCTACTGATGACATTTGTGGGCTCCATGCTAAATTTACTTCTTTCTGCCTTTTAACTTCCATCATGTGACTCAGCAACACATGCCAGAGATTAAAGGACAGTGCTTGTAGGGCAGAAAGAAGGGGAACTTTGAACACAGTGCTTTTTTACAACTTTTTCCCCTTTCTCTTTTAATGCATTAGCCAGAAAAATGATAAGGGGTCATGAGGGGCCTGGACATATTCCCTGTAATCACTGACTGTACAGCTGGCCATTTAGGGGTAAATGCTTCAGGGAAGGATATTCTTTGTAAATCATGAGATTCCCTAGGGAGGCAATGAATGTCTCTTGTTTCACTATCTCATTAGAGAGAAAGATAAAAATGCACTTTGCAAAATCCATAATGATTTATTTTTTTCTCTTAGACGCATCAGAAAATATATTAAAGCTAAAACATTGTTGCTCCTTTTCACATAGACTGCTTGATAAATTAATTGATCTGTTTTTTTCTTTAAAGTCAGGGTGTGAAGATAGCTGTTTAAAAAGAATTTTTTTTTTTTTTAAGACGGAGTCTCGCTCTGTCCCCCAGGCTGGAGTGCAGTGGCCGGATCTCAGCTCACTGCAAGCTCCGCCTCCCGGGTTCACGCCATTCTCCCGCCTCAGCCTCCCGAGTAGCTGGGACTACAGGCGCCCGCCACCTCGCCCGGGTAGTTTTTTGTATTTTTTAGTAGAGACGGGGTTTCACCCTGTTAGCCAGGATGGTCTGGATCTCCTGACCCCGTGATCCGCCCGTCTCGGCCTCCCAAAGTGCTGGCATTACAGGCTTGAGCCACCGCGCCCGGCCTGATTTTGATTTTTTAAAATATCTTAAGGATATAATACGATCTAAGTATTTCTTACCACTGGGGACTTTTTGTTCTATAAAGTAAATGTAACTCACGGTATCACTTGGAATTTGATTAAAAAATGCATTTGAAAGCAGGGATTTTTTTTCCTATTGCTTTAGTTTAATTTTTCAGCTTTATTAACAAATTGAATGTAAATTAATTTCCCAAAGTTAAGTGTGTGGGGAAGCTATTATTGGCATGCTTTACCCAGAAAATAAAACTGTCAGGAAACAAGTGACACAGTGTTCGGCTAAATGGTGAACATATTCTGGAGAATCTTTATCAGCAAAATGTGGATAGTTAGCTTTTGCTTTTCAGTAGAAACCTGGAAAAGTGTTGAGCTGGGGGGAGAGTCTGAGAGAAGTACTATTGACGAGATCAGGGAGGCATTGTTTCCAATTCTAACTATTCCATTTCTTTGAAATGCCTTCCTCATGGGAATTCCTTCCCAATTTCCAGGGTCATCCCACTGTTTTTACCACACACAGCACCAGCAGCTAGTGACCTTCCTGAGCCAGGTGTCGCCCCTTCTGACTTCCAAATCCAGT